GCTTGGGCTGCTCTAAATGGTCCGGGGGGAAGGGGGGGTGGGTATTGAAATCCCCAGCAAAATACTGATCACCGTTATCAAACCTGTGCTTCTTTTTCCAGGGGGCAAAATTGCAGTGACTTTATTAGCTGAGTAGTTTTAATTCCCCGGTAGATAAAGCGGTAAGGATTTGTGAGCGGTAAGGAGCCCGATGGAGCGCTCACCGTAGCCTGCCCAGGGCTGAAGAGTAAGTGACCTGCTCGTTGTTAGGTGATCCTCCCCCCCCCACTTCCCCTTCGCTCTTTCTCTGCCACCTTTTGTGGACCGCTCTTTATTTTATTCCGTGGGTTGGAGGGCAGTTTTGCGGGTACGGAAAACGCAGAGAGTATTTGGTTTCTTCTTGTTCCGAGCTTCCTTCTTCCCCCGTCCCCGCTGAAGTTCCCCATCCCCGCTTTAAACTCCTGCTCCGCTCCTCCGAGCCTCYTCTTTGTCCTGTTTATTATAGCTGCCTTGCTTTTTGTCTCTTCCAATTTGCCTGTCATTTGCATGTCGCTACTTCTCCTTTTTAACCCAGGCCGGGAAGGACAGGGACTTTTTATTCTTACTCTTCTTATCCTTGCAATTACTTTTTMATTTCCAAGCGTGGGACGAGCTGGGAATCGTGGAAATGTATAGAAAATGGGATTTGAGTGGTAGGTAGCGAGCACATGAGAAGAGATCAAATGCAAGTCGCGGGATAAGAGCCTTGATCTGGGAAAAGATTAGGATTATTGGTACTTTCTGTTTGTTTGGTTGTTGTTTGTTGATTTTTTTTCCTCCGGGGGGGATTTAATTCTTTCTTAGCCGTTGATGGAGATCTTTCTTGGCTTTTTCGATTTTCTGTTTAGCGGCTGAGTGACCCGGCGCACTTTGCCATGTGTTTGCACGGAGTTAAAGCGCAGGAGGGAGCGGTGTTGGGGGGCGTGGGGCCTGCGCGGAGGGGGCGCTCGGGGCAGCGCTGGGGGGGTGCGCTCGGGGCTGGGGGGGCGCAGAGATCGCGGGGCCCGACAGGAGCAGGCGGCCCGACGGGCTCCCGGAGCACGGCTCCTCGGCACCGGGCGCTCCGCGGGGGCGGAGGGGGGCCTCTTCGCAGAGAGGGAGAAAGTTGCGCGTCCCCCCCGCGGTCGCTGCGCGGCGTCCGGAGGGGCAGTACACGGCCTCGGGGCCGGCTCAGGTGCGCGGGGCGCGGGCAGGTGCGCGCAGGGGCGGCGGGGCAGGTGCGCGTCGGGCGGAGCGGCTGCGGAGCGGGGCGCGGGGGGTCCCGGCCGCCGCCGCCTCCCTGTGCCGGGAGAGCCGGGGCGGCGGGGTCAGCAGCGGGAAGCGGCTCGGGATCGGTGTCTGCGGGCGGTGCGGGGGGCGCGGGAGGCGCGGCCGAGGCGGGGTGGAGCTCCCCGAGGGGCCACCGTCCCGGCCGTGTGTTTGTGCCCCGGCCGCGGAAGAGCAGGTACGCGGGATATTAACTTAGCGGCTTTGACAAAGTAGCGATTTTCAGTCARGGCTGGCAAGGGACACGGCTGCAGACTAGAGGTGCCCTTGAATGTCGGGCAAAAGTTGCCTGGACGAGCTTTGGAAAGCCGCTCGCTTCCCACAGGTCCCGAGCGCTCGGCAGACTCCGTGGTGTTTCTGGCTGCATGGCGAGTGTCACCCCAAACCCATCATCCGGGTCTGGGGACGGGTGGGGAGCACGTGGAATGCATCCACGCATCCGTGGCCATAGCTTGGTGGCAGAAGGTCCTGTGTTGTCGAGCAGAGGGCACAGAAACACGTTGGTGTCACCGTGAGGTGTAAAAGCTCCGATTATTTGTCACTTCCATTGCCTGTAGAGGTTTGGCAATATTGCAGGACGAATTATACGGAGGCTGTTTCCTTAGCCATAGATTTGCATGTGGCACATATCCTTTATTTCTTTTTCTCGCAGTTTTTCTCTGAGTTACCATCAATCACGTAAAGTTTATGACCACTGCATCTCATTTTGCATTTATTTTATCTGCATTTTGTCCAGGGCTTACCTTTAGCAGCAATAGCACATACTGTGAAACGTTTGTTAATACTCAAGGGTAGACAGAGTATCAACATTTCAGGAGTTGAACTGTGATAAAAAGTACAATGTATATACTTTTCACTAACAGCTCCCTATTAAATTATTCTGTAAAATATCCTGTGTTTGCTGAATGGCACTGTCGGGGTATACAATTAACTTCCTTGCCAGTTGAACTCTGAGGCTTCTCAGTTTATATAACTTATCTTTTTTATGATTGTTTGATAAATTGGGATATTCATAAGAATGGACACATTTTCAAATTGAAAAGTTTAATTTGATTTGGGGCAGAATTGTAAATACTCTAATATGTAGTCTCTAAGTAGTGATTTATTCTGACTCAAAGTGCAGCCTAACTGCTAAATTAAGTAATTCAAGAGCTGTGATTTAATGACATCGTGTCACATGGAAAAAATAATATCTTGGAAAACTTGGGCTGAATTCGTAGTGGGAATCTTGAGAAGTATTGTCTGTACAAAGAGGCCATGTGAGTTATTTTCTTCATGATCAGTGAAATAACAAGGACCAAACTGGCTGGAGAGGAGGAAAATATTTTCAGTTTTCTACTTTGAGCAGCTTGATTTCTTTTTCTCATGTAAAAGGTCTGTTTTCTCAAGCAGTGCCGAGCACGGCTGCGTGATGGAGGGCCCTGCATCTCCCCAATTTAAAGGCCTGAACTAATGAGATGCCGAATCCCTCCTGTTACTGAGCTCTGTAGTTGATGGGAATTGCGGATGTTTGGCATTCATAGGAATTGCTGAATACCTTGCTCTATTGGGCCCTGAGTATCACCAGGTTCATAAAACAAGGGTTGCTTTWTTCTTTAAGGCTAAAGAGCGAGCAGCATAATTTTGAAGTAAATCAGGSACTGATTTTTACTGCTGCTTCTTCTTATAATAAGAAGTATTATAATAAAGTAGTAATTTAATAAARTAGTTCTTGCTGCACAAATAGTTGCTCATCCATTCTGCCTTGTTTCAAATTCCTTGATAGACTTYTTGGCTAAAGGAGTTGGATAGCCTTTTCTCCCAAGAACATTTGTGTTAGAACTGTAAAAAAGGTAATACTTTCTCCCAAGAAAACTTGTGTCAGAGCTGTACGAAAAGGTAGCACTTTCTCATTAGTGCCTGATGTGATTTTACCATTGAACAGATCTATGGTGAACAGATGTTGTCTGTTCTTCGAATTTTAGCTGTGGTTTTGTGCATGAAATGCTGTTGACTGGAATAATTTTCATCCTGCGCTTCCTGGCTGATTCTGGCAAAGCCATACCCTGTGTAGTGCGTTAGAGTGAAAGATCTAAATATTTCTATTAGCAGAAGCATGTTAAATTTCTTGCATGGTATTGGCATGATGGGCTGACATGAAGCAGGCAGACACTGGACCAACGAAAGTAGTTGGTTTGTGAAAAGATAGGAACAATTWAAGTTCTATAAACTGATATCTCTTTGAATTCATCCAGGCATATCCATCAAGTTTAGCACTTTGCTACTGTGTGTTTAATGGCTGTTTAGTTAGGCTAGGGTTCTTCAAAGGGGCCGACGAGGGCGAGTTTGAATTTACATCTCCTTTGGATCCTGTAGGTGTATGAATTAATCTAGGAAAAAATGATCACCTTCTTTCTAGATCAAGATGAGTTAACAAAATTGATTACAAAAATTGATTTATTCATAATGAGTGTGGTTAAATACCTGACCTCATACTCATTTCAAAAGACCATTCTAGCCAAAGGTTTGGTAATATTAACTTAGAGACCTAGAAATTAATCTGTTTCCATTTTAAATGTCAATGCATATCAAATGGGTATGAAATAAACCCATGTCTGTAGCTGCTGTGCTGTTAAGAGGTTATTCATAGCTACATTGTAATCATATCTCCTTAAACAAAAGATTTGAAAGTAAATTTGTAAATAAAATACTACTGCTATGTTTATGGATGCACATAGAAAGTGCTGAGGCCCTTGGCATGATTTTTAATTCCATCGGCATGGAAAACGTTCGGTTTCTSAGGAAGCCACGTTGTGCGAGTTGAGGCTTGAGATATGGCCGGYGAATTTAACATGAACTACACTTGGCATGCGAGGAGTATCAAAAGCGATGCATAAACCAGATTGAACCTTCCCAAATTTAAAACTCTGTAATTCAGAAAGCAATGATGCTTCTGAAGATTTCTGCGTAGATCTTGACAACCTAAGCTATCTTACCAGCTCTGTTTTTTTGGACAGCTGCACAGAGACTTTAGATGTATGAAATTTAGTTTTGAGACAACGTGCAGCTGAAGTACTGGTAACTATGTA